GTGTGTTTACAGTTGAACAAGGTTGGTCATATTGTAAATATGGGCATTAACGTGAACAACACTGAGATAGCCTATTATGCTATTGCTTTAGAGTTATTATTTGAGTTATTATTGTTATTGCTTTGCACTATTACGTGTGTTACTATATTGTGATTGCACTAACGTTTACGGTAATTTACCGTAACAGCATCAGAATGTTTTTTACGTGTTTAATGAATGGAGGAAACGTTCCACTCCACTATGTGATACAAATGTTGCACTACATGTTATACCTTGCTGTTGTTAAAAGATAAACTGTGTCACAAAAATATTAATATTTTACCTCGGAGAAAATAATAAAACAGGTGTTTATTCATAATAAAGTTTGACTGACCTGCCTGTTTTGTTGACATTCCCTTTAGCGCAGCACTGTCTAATGGATGTATAAGGTAGCGCCTTATAATGCGGTGCGCACTATATATGGAAAAAGTTTTAAAATATGTCATTCATTGAAGGTGCGCCTTATAATGCAGTGCGCCTTATAGTGCGGAAAATACGGTAAATCAAAATCTTGCATCTTACACTTACAGCTTCACTGTCATCTTACCGAGTTGAGTTATTCCTTGCAACAGCACATACTGTACAAAATCTCCTCAAGCAGCTCTTCAAAGGCCAACAAAACTAAAAAGCTGACTTAAACATGAGTGCAGTTTGCAGATATGTGTCCTTAAAATAAATAAAAAACTGAAACGCCTGTCACATGAAATTTCAAAACAGAAATGCATTAAAAAAAAAAACCTTAACATACTACCCCCCAAAAAATTCACACTACTGAGATAAGCATACGCAATTACAGGAAGTAAACAATGCAAAAATGGCTAACACAGACAGCTGCGAGGATTTTTTTTAGACCAGGGAGTTTCCCTTTTTAAAGAGTTCCCCTTTGCCATCACTTCCTTTTTCACTTTGGCCGTGCCAAGTAAAAAAAAATAATAATAATACGCCAGTTATGTGACAATATGCTAATGAGAACACATAAAAATCCTGAAAATACAACTGAAAATTGACAGATATCGTCACAGAAATACAAGTTTTCACGTTTGTGTCAGTAAAATGACAGAACTAGACAGGCACAGACAGTTTGTGGTTATAAAGCACCACAGCTGCCAAAAATCTGCCTGTCTGTATGCAGTCATTAGGGTCTGCCTCCTATTGCATCTCTATAAGTGAGGAGCAGAGAGAATCCCCTCTGGTAATGATAGCTTAGACCCCTGTCTCTCTGAACGGAGTCACCCATCCATCAGCGGACACCCCCCACCCTAATCCTGAATCCTACTTTCACATCTTAAATGTGCCTTCAAAATGATTTAGAAGGAGGAAAAAAACAGCAAAGACCACAGAGAGGGGTAAAGACAACATGCACACTAAAGCACTACACCATAACATCACATTATCAGCACTTTGCGCCTCTGGAACATATTGATCTGCTCGTGTTGACATTAAACCACTAGAATTGACTGTCAGATTTGTGTCTGGAGGACGTGCGCAGCCAGCAGACCAATGTGAGCTGCTCTGTCAGGCAGACTGGCTGTCTCTGTAACACTGACAATCACAATAAGGAAGTGCAGGAGCCTTCATCGGGATCCATGCTTGGGTCTGCATTTAGGGCAACTCTGATGACCCACATTAAAAATACCACAAGAAAATGGTTCTCAGCTGCACTTCGTCCACRAATAAAAGCTTTAAAAGCTGGGAAATCCACAGAGAAACGTGCGTACGAAGATACTCAGATGCTGAGACAAAGCCCCCCATCGTGCCTACCTCCTTTGACACCCCCAACGCGATGCAGGGGTATGATGCCCCATCCCCCGGGGAGCGTGCTGTCCTCCTGCAGGATGCTGCTCCTCTTTGTCTGCCTCGCTGAGTGGCAGGCTGGCTGAATGAACGACCGAGCGAGTGCGTCCGAGGGTGTTTCTGTGCTAAATTCAAACCCCCAGCCCCTCTCGTCGACCCCCAACACACGGTGAGCTCCTCACATCCCAGCATCAACATCGAAGTCTACCAGCCTCCTGATTATGTGGTATCCTAGCGACAGCCAACGGGGTGCTTGTGGAATCCCCGTGCAGAGCCGCGTGCTGATTGGCCAACAGCACCCTCTCTAATGAAGATGATGATAATGATTTTACTCCCCCTCTCTCCTCCCCCTCTAAGGTTGTCTGTGTACCGAATTTAATTATAACCATAAATCCATTAACAGAATTTTACTTTTTTTAGTATCCATTTAAMAAACTGATAAGATGTTATCATTCTTTCTATTTTGACTGTTTTTCAAGGTTGAATTTTTTTCCTTTTTTTAAAAGGAGAATGTACATCAATTAAACATGAGTACAATAAAATCATGTGATGTAAATGTGCCAGATTTTGCCACACAGACAAATTTTCATCTCCTGTCCCTGACAAGATGACGATACAATAAAAAAYATATATTTTACAACAAATAAAGAACTAAAGGCATGGTTTTATACAATTACATGGTCTTGGGAAAATTACACAATCATGAATAAAAGAGTTAAGAAAATACATACTAAAACTAACTAACTAACTAACTAAATAAATAAATAAATAAATAAAATACTTGACCAAAAACGAAAACTTACGACTAATAAAGTTATATGCAAAAAATTTTTCTGGAAAAAAAAGCATCTTTTTGTGTCATTTTTTAATATTTGAATGTAAAGCATAAAGTATTTTCTTGGGTCAAAATCTCAACAAAATTAATAGTTTTTATACACAAACACTGCAGCTTTTCAGTAAAGGTAACAATGAAAAAACTCTAGGCAATTTTCCTTCATCTCACTGTAATATAAATGTTTATTCCAAATAAGGACTGTAGGCCTCTGACCAGAACCAGGAAGTTGAAGCCAGCTTGAGTCTAGCTTCCCTGTAAACTGGTAACAATACAAGTTTTAGGTCTCACCCACTACATGTAAACAAAAAGAAAATTGCTCTTGATGAAATAAATAAACACATCAGATCATTTTTTAGGTGTTAACTGTTGTCGAAAAATGTAGTAGGCGGAGCTTAAAGCTCTTGTTCTTAAAATACAACATGGCAGCTCTTGACAATTGGATCCTCCTGGCTTCGCTTGCAAGAGAAAGCAGAAACACGTGGTCCATTAGTATAAAAACAGTTTAYAGGCACAGGCCAAGCAAACCTCAGCAAGAAAGTAACAAACTATTCATAGCACGTGCAGAAACAAACAAATCAAAACGCAAAGCAGCCATACTTAAAAAGTTCATCCACCTATAATAATACATGATAGAACTGCATGTGAATTTAAACCTTACTTGAATGACATCAGAATTCATTAGAGTGTAATGGGCAAGATAAAAGCAGAGGATAATGGCATACTTATGGTCTGCCCTGCCACATTAACACACCACCCAACTGTCTGGCTGCATGAAATGTGGCCATTTGAGTCATTTGCCGGTTGCAATGTGGAATTGATTGGGGCCAGCCATGCACAAGCGTCATTGATTATCATCTTCTCATTAGCATATAGATTAGCTAATGGTGCAGCTAGAAACACAAGCCTGGAGTCTTACACTTGGCTAACAAAGCTGTGCAGYAGAAGGGATCAAAAAGCAAACAGGAACCATCACGGATGGAACAGCTCAGTTGGACATGAGCTGTTAGGTTATGAAAGCTTTGCTTAGAAAGAAATAGCTGCAAAATGAGAGGGGGTTCAGAGGGGAGCCTGGACCAAACAAAGGGTGCTGTTTATTCAAATGATATTCAGGCTCATTAGCGATTTCAACAGAACCTATGCTAAAGGAAAAGATAAAGGATAAAATGGCATACAAGCCTTAATTCTACATTTATGTTGACAATCACRATCATAAGTTTGCTTGAACCAGTGCAAACCACAGTTGAAATGCTAAAGAAAATAATTAAAATATAAGTAGCTCAAAACAATTCATTAAACATGAGAGTCCCTAAAAACAACAAATTATTCATTGCCTTACAGGGCTCGATAATTACTTCAGAAGGGTATATCCATGTGTACTCTCAATTATTTTTGGGCAAGGAGTACCCACCAATAATGACACAGAATCTGACAGACTCATTACATTTTGTGGTCAGAGTTCAAACTGGYTCAAATGTTTTAAGAGAAACGTGTTTTAATTAGGAGATCTGTCACCCTGTATTGGCAGGATCATTTGTAAAAGAGAACATTACTCAATAATGACAATACTATAATAAAGACACAACAAAAATTTAAAAAAAGGCCTTTGGGTAACTTCTTGTTTATGTTGGGATCATAGCTGATCTTGACCAGAGTAAACAATGCAGTGAAGTTAGTTTGTAAAACAAAAATACTTTCTCACCTTGAGGCAAAACTGGTTGGGTCCTCTTAATTGAGTCATCTGACTCATCTGGACCTCGTCTTCACAGCTGAGTAGAGCACCACAAAGAGAGGCGGYGGTGTAGACAACAAAACACTCGCAGGTCAGTCTCTCACGAGACGCCCGTGGGGCCTTTTTACTTAGTCTCATTTATAAACCTTTGCCTGCAAGAGACAAAATGCTCTACTAGATGTTAAATGTGATTTAATACCTCTCAAAATGTGCATGGGGAAAGCAGAAATACAGACTGTGAGGAGGCTGAAGTACAGAGAGAAGATGGAACGATCCTCTCTGATCTATAAATACCACAGTTAAATTATTCTGGCAAAGCTTGCCAATTACCGGCGTGATTTAGCTTGGAGTATTCTATCCTATCAAATCAGTCTCCCAGGCATTATTCTCTGGTGTCTTGAACAATGAGGGTAAAAAAWGGATAAAATTAGGTCAGATATGGGGTTAGATGAGCAGAACTTAAGAAAAAAGAGGCTAACTACTTTAATCATGTTCATGGGGCTTTATAACAACTTTATATTTAGGTAAATATAAAGTACTTTTTTAACTTAAAATTGCGCTGCATTTTCATGTCACCCATAATGAAAATAAAATCATAGATTCACTTTTATATTCACTCACAACAACAAAAAAAAAGGTGAAAATACCAAAAGTGTTGCATACCTTCTCAAAAAAAAAAAAAACTATCTGGCATCTTGTAAACATCTGATGACAATTATGCCAACCAAGGCATTCCAAGCTCAGCTGCCTTCGCAAAAAAATAAAACTCTTCAAATGTTTAGCTGTAAACAAAGAAGTTATACTGATCATTTATTCAGTGAAWGGTAGCTCATAAGGGAAGGAGATAAATATCAGGGAGCAATTAGGCCATTTCTCCTGCAGATGATCACTTCTCTATTAAACGTGAAGAAAGTCTGCAGCTCTCCGCTTCTTTGCGAATCAAATCAGGGTTTCCATAGCACGACTAAACAGCACAGAACAATGTGTCTGAATAACAGCTCACCACATCAGATCAAGCACCAGCTATTAAAACAAMGGTGAAAGTAATTATATAGATGTGATCTTGGGTTTCAGYCTGCCGTCCTTTTAAGTGGCTCAGACTCCCAGCAATTAACTCCAACGGCCTTGAGGAAAACCTGTGAGGGTCTCTGCCCAACCTGTTGCTGCTTTTTATCCTTAGAGTAGGTAAATTATGGGCACGAGCTGACCTATTGAGTGAACTAATGAGGGGAATGTGTTATATTATTGCTAACAATTCGGTGGAAGCTTTGAAACAACAACAGCCATCTACCAACAATAACTGTAGAAGTTTTTAATCCTTTTTCCCCACCAACATCTGGCTTTTTATTTACAACTGGAAACATTTCAAGTGGCATTTTGTTCCGCATCAAATAACTCAACAGCCACAGAAATTTACTGGCTGTGTGACTCTGAATGGCACTGGTGTAAGAAAAAAAAACTTTCAATGGACATTATTCCTTAATATTTAAGAAGTAAACAAACTCACAGGAACACAGACCACAAATGTAAGAGACACAATGCATCAGTTTTACAAGTGAAGACAGCTGGAAGCTGAGACATTCAGTCCTGTTGTTTTGGCCTGACTAACAAGCGACTGAGGATTCCCATCTCTTGTTTTAAGGCATTTCAGACCAGAAGGTTTTGACATTTTTTTATGTAAGTCCAGGAGTTATAGTGATGCGTATTTATGCACAGTTCATGTTCATTTACAGTAAATTTAAACAACCTTTAAAGTGCCTGTGACATGCCTACCCTTCAAATTCAAAAAGGCAAAGAAAGCATCTTTATACTTATGATAATTGGCAATTATTTTACCCCTTTTGTCACATAACTGGCCTATTTTCTTCTAAATTTGGCACAGCCAAAGTGAAACAGGAAGTAACATCAAAGGGGAACTCATTAATAAAATTAACTCGCCAGTCTCGGTTTATTAAAACGAAATTATTTAAACTTTAACTCTTCTTCGTCTCTCTTTGATAGCGACTAAAAATAATCTAAAAAACATCAGATTCTTCTCTACAGCCAGTGTTGTTAGCTTTGTAACAACGCTTTGTTTACATGCTGACATTCCCCTTTGACATCACTTCCTGTTTCTTCACATGCCAATATCTCAACAACTGTTCATCTGAGCAATGTGAAATTTGCTTTGCAACATGCTATCAATATTATCTTTCAAAAAAAAATGCATTCATGTTTATTACAAAAAACTGATGTCATGGGCACTTTAATGTACTAATCTAGCATATAAATGGTAATTTATCTGCTGTTTTTTAATTTTCTATACAAATCTCTGGAGTTTAATTTGATTAACGAAGTGATTAAACCTGGGGTGTCCAATCCTAATCCTCAGGGGGCCACTAATCCTGCAGATTTAACTTGTTTCCTTACTTGGACGCACCTTGATTCAATGTTGGAATATCCTCTTCAGGTTCTGCAGATGCCTGTTAACCACTCGTGCATTCATTCAGGTGTGTTGGAGCAGAGAAATATCTAAAACATGCCGGATTGTGACCCTCGAGGACCAGGATCGGACCCCTGGATTAACCTCTCTCTGTAAATAAACACGGTTCTTGTTCTGGACTGAACAGCTGTGAATA